TGGCAGAAGGAAGGCCATAGATGATTAGGAATACATAGGCTGCAAGGAAGCAGACATGGTCCCAGTGTGTTGTTGGGACAGTGTGAGCCTAGACCAAAACTCAAGGGAATGAACTACATTCTCTGTTCTCTAATCTGTTTGGCTCCTGCCACTTTGCTCTCCCAGTGCCATCACAGCCATCTTACATCACTGGGCTTAGACACTACCAGGTTAAGCTGTTCTTAGTAACTGCTTAGGGCTACAATTTAAATTTTCTTCCTATTCTACAGTGACATCGGCTGTTTCTAACTTTTACCATTTTAGTAATGCTGTGGTATAAATTCTTTGTACATTTATCATTGGACACATGGGAAACATTCCATAAGACAAACTTTCTGTCAAAAAATATATACTTTGAAAATTGGTACTTATGTTAAATTGTGTTCTCAGAATTTAAAAATTACTCTAGTACTTTGAACAAACATGGGTTGTTCACTTTTTAACCTAACTGTTGCTTTCAACATTATAATAAATTCATTATTAAAGATCAAACACCTACTAGAGTTTCACTCGTTGAGAAAATCTGAATAAGAGCAGATAATGTTGAGATTTAAGTAATAATCTAATATCCTATCTATATACCTCTGGTTCCATCCAGCTATTAGGCTGGTTAAATATAAACCTTTCTATTAATGAATTAGCATTCTTTTTCTTTAGAAAAAAAAATCAAAGATACATAGTTGTTCAGCCACTTGCAAATATTATTTTTATTTACTTAGAATTTTGCTTCAGTTTAATTTTAGGTATAGACATTACCTAACTACTTAATTAACATTCTCAGGCTAGGATTCTATTCGTATGACTTAGGGTGTAAGCGTAATATGCTGAGTTGCCATGGCAACTATGGATATTATGTACTGTAATCAAGATACGTATTTCACATAAAAATCTCATCAAAACAACATGGGGAAACATTTCTATTTAAAAAGGTCACACAGAGCAGTGTTGTGGCTCAAGAAGTAAGGCGCCGGTCCCATATACTGGAGGTGGCGGGTTCAAACCCAGTCCTGGCCCAAAAAAACTGCAAAAAAACCCCCCAAATAAATAAATAAATAAAAAGGTCACACATCATGTCAAATGACCTACATCAGGGTGATATTTTAAACAGTCATGTTTCCCTTTAGCTATCAAATTTTAAACCCAAACAACACAATCTAATTGTATGTACACTTATACTATTAATCCAGAAAAAATACTATACTGGTGCTCAGGCAATAGCTATAGCTTGCAAGGATACTACCACCCTTCCTCCTCTCTCTTTTTTTTTTTTGGAGACAGACTCTTCACTTTGTTGCTCTCAGTACAGTGCTGTGTCATTTTAACTCACAATAACCTCCAACTCTTGGGCTTGAAGCGATTCTCTTGGTTCTGTGGCATCCTACCTCATAGCAACCTCCAACTCTCAGGTTCAAAGCAATTGTCTTTTTTTTTTTGGAGACAGAGCCTCAAGGTGTCCCCCTGGGTAGAGGGTAGAGTGCCGTGGCACCACAGCTCACAGCAACTTTCAACTCCTGGGCTCAAGCAAGTCTCCTGCCTCAGCCTCCCAAGTAGCTGGGACCACAGGCGCCCGCCACAACGCCAGCTATTTTTTTTTTTTTTTTTTTGGTTGCAGCCGTCATTGTTGTTTGTCGGGCCCAGGCTGGATTCAAACCCGCCACTTAGGTGTATGTGGCTGGAGCCTTAGGCACTTAAGCCATAGGCGCTGAGCCTGTTTATTTAATTTTTTTAAACTAAATCATAACTGTATACATTAATGCATTTATGGGGTACAACGTACTAATTTTATATACAATTTAAGATGCCTACGTCAAACTGGTTAACATAACCCTCATCTCACTTATTATGTTAAGACATTTATACTTTACTCTTAACAGATTCAACATGTACCCTTGCAATATACACCATAGGTGAGATCCTACCGATTACCCTCCCTCGACCCTTCCTCCATCTATCCTCTCCCCTTCTCTCCCCCTCCTCTTACCTCCTTCATGAGATTACATATGTTTAAATGCCACCTATTAACTATGTGGTCCTAGACAAACTGTTTAACCTCCTGCAGCCTCAGGGTTCTTACCTATAATATGGAACTAGAAACAGTACAGAATTTCTTGGGACCTTGGTAAAAACTAAGAGAGATAATGCATGTATGATACTTTTCATAGAGTCTGGCACATGATAAAATGTTAAAATAAATATTATCTGGCTCGGCGCCTGTGGCTCAAGCGGCTGGGGCGCCAGCCACATACACCTAAGGTGGTGGGTTCGAATCCCCAGTCCGGCCTGCCAAACAACAATGATGGCTGCAACCAAAAAATGGCCAGGCGTTGTGGCGGGCGCCTGTGGTCCCAGCTACTTGGGAGGCTGAGGCAGGAGACTCGCTTGAGCCCAGGAGTTGGAGGTTGCTGTGAGCATGATGCCATGACACTCTACCCAGGGGGATAGCTTGAGGCTCCATCTCAAAATAAATAAATAAATAAATAAATAAATAAATAAAATAAAATAAAATAAATATTATCCATTACTATCAAAAAAGGGTCACTTTTTAAGTGTGATAATATTATTGTGGGTTTTTTAATAAGTCCTTGTATCTTAAACACACTGATACACTTTTAGAAGAAAAGAGATGCTATCTAAGATTTATTTCAAAGTAACCAATTTTGTGTAGATAAAAGTATCCATTGTAGGAGAAAATGTAGATGTATGGATGAAATAAGATTTTCCATGTTTCAATCTCTGTAGGAACAGGTAACAGGTTCATGGAAGTTCACTGTATTATTTGCTCTACTTTTGTGTATATGTGAAAAAAAATAATTTTTTTTTATTGTGGAAAAAGATACAGACATTCTGTGTCTTGGCCATCGATAAGGTGAAATTCAATACTACTTCCAAAGCAACAGTTCTGAGTTTTCTTAGAGAATATCACCAAAAGGAGACCTACATTAAGTCATGCAAGCAATCACATCTCTTGGGCTTTAGGAGCAATGATTTAAACAAAGAAAGACTAGCCTAGAGCTCTTTTGGACAAAGTCCAAGATAAGTAATGACAAAAATCCCCCAAAACTTAGAAATTCAAGACAATTGTTTCCCAGTAGGCAGAATCGAGTCCCAATTAAACCAAACAATAATCAATTACTTGTTTTAAATCACCTGGCATCTATAAAGAGCAAATGAGCACACCATACTGAAAAAATGAAATACCACATTGAAGAGTCTGGGATTCCCCCACTTTGTTTCTTACCAAAGCACCAACAGAAAAAAGTAAACACTAAATGAATGAGTCTAATAGATGGAGTAGGTGAGATTCCTGACTCAAAAACCCACCAGTTTTCACATTCCCCAGATGCTCACCTAGAGTAAGGGTGAGCAAACTTTGCCCCAAAGGCCAAATCAAGCTTGCACCCTTGTTTCTATACAGCCTTTGAATGAAGAATGATCTTACATTTTCAAAGAGATGAAAACAAATACATATACTTACACAAAATATGTGACAGAGACCATATGTAACCCATAAAACCTAAAATATTTACTACCTGGTCCTTTATAGAAAGAACATACTAACTCCTGACTTATAGTGAAAGCCCATGAAGTAATCCAGCATGTTATCCCAGATGATTTCAACGTGGCAGGTCTGCCTGTCTAACCAACCGAACAAGCAATTAACATTTTTGGCTACTATCCCCATCCCCTACCTGGTGCTTCCAAATCTGCGCCTTCAGAGCACCTCTTTTGTCAGTCTCCAAGCAGAAAGGCTCAACCTGGGTCACATTCTTTACCTTCTTCTCCGGCAGGTTAATAGTGTCAAAATGAGGCAAGGGAAGTGCCTTGAACACAGGTACCTAGTAGAAGAGGAAATAAAGAGATTTAACACAAAGGTGTCTCTAGCCAAAAACAGCTGCTCCAAAATATTTGGATGACTCTGAAAAATGGGGAATGCCAATTAGTTTTCAAAGCAGCATGGTCAAGCAGAAAAGAATAATGGGCTCAAAAGGAAATCTAGGCTTTACTCTCTATACGTGTATATTGCCAATAACTGGTAGTGTGATCAGAGGCAAGTCACTAACCTGCTTACTCCATTTATATTTTATAAGGTTCTTAGAGAGATCAAAGGAAGTCAGTGATTTTATAGTTTGTTTTTCTGGGGGGGGGGGGTTGGTTTTTTTTTTGAGACAGAGTCTCACTGACACCCTTGGTAGAGTGCCATGACATCACAGTTCACAGTAACCTCCAACTCTTGAGCTTAGACAATTCTCTTGCCTCAGCCTCCCAAGTAGCTGGGACTATAGGTGCCCACCACAATGCCTAGCTATTTTTGTTGCAATTCTCATTGCTGTTTTAGCTGGCCGGGGCCAGGTTTGAACTTGCCACCCTCGGTATATGGGCCCAGCACCCTACCCACTGAGCCACAGGTGCCACCCAGTTAAAAGTACAATAGAAAAGATTATCTTTGAGGGCTCAAAGAGTAGCATTATGCCATTTATAGAGATGGAAACACCTACCTCCCCTTTCTGCAGTTCTCGTATTTTCATCTCTTTCTTTAACTGACGTTCTTTGTCTCGAGAATCAAAGGAGAAAGGGCATAACTCCACAGTTCTTGCCTCTGGGATTTGGGGCTTAAAAGGCACCCCATAATGTGGCACAGGTTGAGCTCTTACCACTACTGGTTCATCTTCTTCCTAAGTGAAAAATTGCAGTTTAGAAACAAAACTTATCACTCTCACCCACATCCTCAGAATGTGAAGTCAGAAAATATATGTGACAATAAATAAGGCAACTTGCTCAACTTTTTAGATGTCTTAACTTCCTTTTCTATCAAAGAATGATAGTATCTAAGTGATCTCCCATCTCACAGAGGTTAGACCCACATGAAGGCATTTGCTTAAGTACTAACATAATTTTTTTTTTTTTTTTTGAGAGAGGGATAGAGTTTCAAACTGTTACCCTGGGGAGAGTGTTGTGGCCTCATAACTCATAGCAACCTCAAACTCTTGGGCTCAAGCAATCCTCCTGCCTCAGCCTCCCAAGTAGCTAGAACTACAGGCACCCACCACAATGCCAAGCTAGTTTTTCTATTTTTATTTTTATTTATTTGAGACAGAGTCTCACTATGTCACCCTGGGTAGAGTGCCATGCCATCACAACTCTTAGCAACCTCAAACCCTTGGGCTTAAGCGATTCTCTTGCCTCAGCCTCCTGAGTAGCTGGGACTACAGGCAGCCGCTATACACCCAGCTATTTTTTTGTTGCAGTTTGGCCAGGGCCGGGTTCGAACCCTCCACCCTTGGTGTATATGGCTGGTGCCATAACCACTGTGCTATGGGCACTGAGCCAGCTTTTCTATTTTTAGTAGAGACAGGGTCTTGCTCTTGTTCATGCTAGTCTCACATTCCTGAGCTCAGGAAATACACTGCCTTGGCCTCCCAGACTGCTAGGATTACAGGCATGAGCCACCATGCCCACCTCCACAATTATTATTATTATTATTTTATTTTCATTTTTTTTAAGATGGAGTCTCACTTTGTCACCTTCAGTAGAGTGCCTCGGTGTTACAGCTCACAGCAAACTCAATCTCTTGGGTTTAAATGATTCTCTTGCCTCAGCCTCCCAAGTAGCTGGGACTACACGTGCCTGCCACAACACCCAGCTATTTTGAGAGACAGGGTCTCACTCTTGCTCAGGCTGGTGGAACCTGTGAGCTCAGGCAATCCACCTACCTCGGCCTCCCAGAGTGCTAGGATTATAGGCATGAGCCACCAGGCCCAGCCTCCCACAATTATATTTTTAAACAATATAAAGTTTTTCATAGGAATGTTATGCAAACTAATGAGTCAAGCAGTATGAATAAAATGAAGATCAGAAGACAGGTCTTATAACCAAGGATATACCTCACTCTCTTCTTTCACATAGCCTCTAGACTCCACTGAAACATGTGACTGGGACTAAATTATTGTCACACCCAGAATAGGAGCTACTGGGACTTAATTATCGTCACACCCAGAATAGGAGCAAGTAAGTTGTTTGGGTTCAAACTGGTTAACACAAGATTACTGTGTATTTTCATTTCAAATGAATCTATAAAGGGGTGCATGCCTGAGATCTGCTATAAAATTACCCTAACTCTGGTTATTTATAAATAAAAATGGGAGATGTAGTACGAAACTAGCCTGATCAATGACAGTTCATGAATTACAATTCCATGAACCATCACCACACGGTCACCTTAGCAACTCTTGGGTTACTGGAGATAGTATAAAGCGGACAGAACTGCTTAGTATGAATTTTAGAAGTCCCTCACTGAACTGCCTCAGTGACATTATCTTAGGCAAAATAAAGCATAGAGCTTGGCAACTTTTGATCCATGTTACAAAGACAGGTAATTTTCAATGCTACAGAAACAGACAAGCCTCCAACTTCTCCTCACTGTTTCCATAATTTGTAACCAGTTCTCTCTGAGAGCCAAAAGATTCATACTCTTACCAACTACTTTGTTCTTCAAGGAGCAAAAAGATGATTCAATGTTTATACTCATTATTTAAAGACAACTCCAGACAAGAGTGGTTACTTTAAACTCCATCAAATTTAAAAACTAGTAAGTCTTAGACTGGCTATACAGAAGGAAAAAAAAACTCTCCACCCCCAGGGAATTACCTCATCTCCTTTGGTGGGTATCCGAATTCTGTTCTTCAGTGCAAAAGCTGGTGACTTGGGGACAGTGATTGGAAGTACCTTCTTTTCAGGAACACCCTGTAAGAATTAAGTAACTTGATTATACATCCTAGAACAATTTCCACTAGGCTGCATAAGATGATTAAATTCTTTTCTTAAAGAAAAATACATGTATTGGGAATCAAAAAAGGCTACTATTAATATGTTAGTATGTTGTTCACCTAAGACAAAGGCATATCTGGTATATGGTAACACACCAAAAATGGGTTATCAAGACAGAACAGCAAACAGTAAGGACGTAGGTAGAGCTGAATATTCAATAAAAATATGATTCACCAAAAATCTTTTATTTTCTTCCCTCCATACAAAACGTCATAACATTTATTTAGATATTCATTTCCCCTGCTGGCCTATAAATGCTTGAGGGTAGGGACGATTTTATCCTACCAATCCCTAGTGCCTAACATAGATATTGGCAAGTACAAGGCATTCAGTAAATGTTGAATGAATGCAGTCAGAATGAATGAACACATGAGTAACAGAATTCATACCTTGGACTCTAAGAGAATACCTTGGGAGACGTCTCCTTAATCCCAACAATGCTGCAACTGTTCCAAACATGTTTGGAATGTCTTTCTTGGAGTGCCTTTCAAAGCCACTTTTTGGACCATGCAAGACAGTTGCTCAATCTTTACTTTTAATTTAACTAAACTGTTTTCACCTCTATTATCTTGGACTAATCAGAAGGTTTAGTTCCAAATAACTTTAGATTAGCTTCTAAAAGTAAATTAATGTTTAAAATACATATGAAGATTTGTCATTATTGAAGAGATCCAAAAAACTCTCTCAGGATCCAAAAGAAGTTGTTTTTCTAAAATGCTTTACATAGTATTACAATCACTGGAAAGGATTTATACCATCTCTCAAGGTGACCACTGTGAAGGAAATTCTGCAAGATTTCTTACACTTACTAAAGAACACTAAAATCACTAGTACAGTGAAATCCAATACAACTGACCCTGTAATCAGAGGGACAAATGTCTAAGAAATGGCTTGTCAAATGATGCTTACTATAAAACTGCAACAACAAAAATCTGCTGTTCTATAACACCCTGAACAAGTGAACACCAGCATCTGGTTTGAACACACAAAGTGCAAGAAGCAGCAGGAGAAACAATGAACAAGGAACCAGGAGTCTGTTCTAGCCTTCCTCTGCTTCTAATCTGTATAACCTGGGAACATCAGATCACTTTCTAGGCCTTGGAGGTTTGTTTTATTTTTTCATAAAACAAAGAAATCGAAATAACTCATTTAGTTCTAAAATAATGCCACTTGCCTTACTTTTCCCCCTCTCTCTATATCCACCCAGCAGAGAAATCTGCATTCTTAAAGGAGGAGCAATGGAAAGCTCTCATAATGATGAGACTTTTGAGTGGGATCAATCCTCATAATTAGTTGGGGGAGAGGAAAATATGATTTATGAAAATCATTTTGCAAGCAACTATCTACCCATACCCCATTCTCCTCTGTAATCAAAGCTAATGGGGCACTCAATTAAAAATAATGAGAAGAAAACTGGGATTCCAGAAACAGAGAAGTCCTCTTGTTTTGCTATCTTAAGTTTTTAAAATTTAAGCTTTTGAGGGCTGGAATATTGCCAATTTACATTCCTTTGTCTTCTCCACAGCACCTACAAGGTCATCTGATAATAACCATTCAATGAACAAACATGCACTGGCTAACATAATTGTACTTTTTTGTTTACATGTCTACCTGCTCTACCAGACTATGAAAGCTTTGAGAACAAGGGTGGTATCTTACTCCATCTTTGAATTCCCAGCGTCTAACACAGGATGGTGCATTTCAGCTTAAACTATCACTCCCTTAGTTATGCAGTATTGGAGTACGTGATTTGGCAGTCACTAGGTTAGGTGCTGGCGATGCAGCATGAAGGACATACACAGTCCTTGCTCTCAAGGAATTCACATTCTAGTGGAGGAAAGAGATAATGAATAAGTAACAAATCAAAAACTTCCAAATTTTAACAGGTGCTCTAAAAAAACCCCAGCAGAATGTGGCATTAAATATGAGTGGGAGAAGCTCCCTCAATGGGGAGTTTGGAGAAGGTATCTCTAAGGAGGTGGTATGTGGTTAGAACTGGGCAATGCCAGTGGACAGATGATGCATTTAGGAAAAGTAGTCAGGGTAGAGATGGGGACGGATATGCCCCCAAAGTGCCCTGGGACAAGCTCTTAGGCAGGTAGGAAACTACTGTGAAGCAGTAATATCTCAGGAAGTATGCAAAAACCCCACAAAATAAAACAAAAAACAAACTTTGTTGGCCTCCCCAAGTAAATATCTCTACTAAAATTACTGCCCTCACTGACAACACATCCAATTCCATGGTACCCAAGCTCCCCACCATTAGATATTGGCCCCAAGTTCACATTTTACACTTTGCTCAAGGCTTTCATCACTCAATCTCTGCCTTAGGGCCCATTCTGCCCCAACCCCATCTCTCATCAGGCCTACTATCTGCTTGCCACTGATCAATCACAAGTGGAACAACATAAGATAGAAGAAAAAAGAGCTTCATCACTAGGAGGAGACAGATGGCCTAAGAAACAACATAAAGATAGAAGAAAAAAGAGCTTCATCACTGGGGGGAGACAGATGAGGAATGACAATGAGCTGCAGCAGGGTTCCAGGGAGGTGGGCTCTTCAGTTCCATTATACTCCAATACTAGAAGTCCAAAGACCTACTCTTAATTATGCCACGAAATTTGAAAAATGTCTCTATGGGCAAGCCACATTCCCCTTGCAAAGCCTCTTTCTGGAAAATGAAGAGGGCAAAATACATCTAACATCTCCTTCTATGCCTTGCTTCTCTAGAAACCCAGAGTTAAAGTGAAACCACTAGAAATTGTAATAAGGCGGGCTACAAATTGTCAGTGTCAAGCTCAAAACCTTGATTTGCCATAATGAATGATGATAATAATAAGTACTGGGTGTAGAATAATATAGTTTTTTTTGTTTTTTTTTTTCTTTTTGAGACAGAGCCTTAAGCTGTCCCCCTGGGTAGAGTGCCATGGCAT